TTCCTACTTGGGGTTATGATTTTACCTTTCTCTTTACTCCAGTAGTTATCCTTGATATCTCATCTCTTTTATGGTTTTTAGCTCATTATTTGTAGCACATTTAGGTAGCAGCATAGAGAAGAAAACTGTAAGCTATCGCTTTAGTACCGAAGGTGCGTATATGCAAAGTCTTGAAGTACTACATTACCACTAAGTCTTACAGTGCGTTTTTCGTTTATGTTGTGCACATTGTTTGTGAATACTAATATCTGCAGTATATCGAATACTAATATCTGCAGATATGCGCAACACTGTCACCTTTGAACCTGTCCACCCAGGGTATATCTATATATCTTTGTGTGTAATTTCAGCAATGCCAGTCGTTCTTCCAACAATCGAAGAGGAAATGTCAACCGAAGAATGCATAATTTGCCACTTCTGCTATTTTCCCGATATCTGGCATGTGTGCTTGGCATATAATTTGTATTGATTAATTTCTCTTCCTACATTTTTAGACGTCAACCTGAATATATTTATAGAAACCAGCAGTCAATTTAAACTTGTTGATACCTCCACACAATTTGTCCTCCAAAGTTCGTGTGTTAGCCAAAGTAATTATCTCCCTTCTGCATATCTTGGAACTTCCTGCAGCAGGTGTTTCGTTGTCATTTTACTAATTCACCAATTTGTAGGGGGCGCCTCAAAGCTCCAAAGCCTTGTTTATAAATGTAATAATAAAAATAGAAGGACCATTATGATAGTGATGATGATGATTCGCAGAACAAACATGTAACAATTGAGTCCAAAAGAGCACTATTCAACAAAGCATTTTTACAACATTGCGTTACCAGTGCCAAACGTCTGTGCAACCTACATCCCGTCATCCCCTCGTGGGATGCAATTCTTCGTTATTTGAAGCCCTACTCTGGTTCTTGCCAGGGGCCGCAATATAGCCCCGCCATAAATATCGTCTTATGGTTGAACGCGGTTTCTGGGACATCTCCACGGGTGATTCTCATCCACATAGTGACACTTTGCGTCATCAGGTGTTTATCGCTTGTGTGATGTCCTGGCGGTTTATAATAAGATAGATATGTAGGTGCCAAACGTGCACATTACGATTAAAGAAAAAAAGAAAAGAAAACGACAGAAATGAAATGTCAACGGCGAATTCTAAATTGTACCAGAAGAGAGAGAGAGAAAGAGAGAGAGAGAGAGAGAGAGAGAGAGAGAGAGAGAGAGAGAGAGAGAGCCAGAAATGATTATATCAGGTAAGAAATTGGAACGCATTAAGAAACACAAGACTAAATGGTCTTCACAAGTGTCAAGACTACAACCAGAATACCAGTCAGCAGTCTGTAGGTCACAGTTATTCAAAGATTCTGTATCTTTCACTCAAAGTTGTAAAGCTCTGTAATTAATTAAACGCTGTCATAGCTTGTAGAAAAAGTTAAGAATAGGTTAACAGGATACGACTTGTATACTACAGAACACAACGCAGTGAGGAAATCTAGAATTCTCGTAAATATTAATTACAGTCGTCCTGTGTTTTACGACATACAGTTAACACATCTTGACAAGTCCAGCCTTTCTGTGTTTCGGTTATCTACTTGCGTGTGTGCATGCCGTGATTCCCATTGCTGTGTGAAATGTTTTTTGACACTCAGATTAAAACACCTCAGTATGGAGGGCAGACCAACAGCACCTTGTAAGTTCTACATCGCGAGGTTAAAGAATCTCAATGCTGATGGCAGTCCCAAAAAGAATTTTTGGTGCGACATTGTGAGGTTAGAGAATCACAGTGCTGAAGGCAGGATCTGAAGGATCTACATCGTGAGGTTAGAGAATCACAATGCTCACGACTGACCAACATTAGCTGACGGTTCTATATCGTGTATAGACAAGTGTACGGCCGCAGGAGTTCTCTCCCCCCGAACTTTGCCTCGGTTTGGAAAGCAATATTTACTTATTTTAAAGCCGTCTCTTCACAGGGGCCCTAATATAAACTAACGATTGAATGGGGTTTCTGGAACTTGTGCCCTGGAAAATCTCATCAGAGTGGTGGTACTTTTGTGTTAGCCAGAAATTTAAATGGGAAGATAGCCAGAGGGAGACCAAGAGAGGTAGTAATCGCAGTTCTAGTCATAGCAAAAGTGTCATCACATAACTGCTCCGTTCTCCATGCCAGCGAACTAGAGAGCATGTTATTCAATGTCCTTTGTAAACAAATTGACACAGACTGCTGTTTAAGTAAAACCAATAGCATAAACAAGCATTAAGTGCATAAGGCAGACGTCGGAAGTGCCAACACAAATAGTCCGGCACTAGAAATGCACTCTATCGTCACTGGATGCTGCAGTTTCGACCCCTCCCCCCCCCCCTTTTTTTGGGGTCCACCTAAATATACAAAAAAATATATGTTTAAAAAAAAAATTTAAGTGAGGAAAAAAAATACGGCAGATACTGAGAAATATGTATTGAACAATTTTTCTTCTTTCAGAGAACCAAAGACATACTAAATATGGGCCCGTTATATTGCATTGTATCAGTGAGTATGATGATGACGTTTGGGGTAAGGAATAACTTACAATATTAAAGTTATGAAATTAGGTTGTTTTAAAAGCTAGTTTCTAACTGGGCATTATTATACCTGGTTTTGAAGGATGATCTAAAGTCAGTGTTTAGGTGACCATTATAAATTAAGCTGAAAACGTAACACCCTAATATTATTTTGACCAGAAAACAGGACATCTCAAGAGCACGTTACCCCCCCCCCCTCCCCCCTTTTTTCCAGGCTATTTTTTTCTTAGGTCACCAGTGTGAAAGGGTTAGTTACTGCTCGACAATGGTATTAAAGCCGGAATCATTGTCTCGACGACATAAACGAAACATGTTCTTTAACTGCACTGCATGTACAGTATCTAAAGTCCACATACGCATATTGCCACCTGCAAGATGAAATGCCTGAGAAAAACCACCAACTTAACCATCCGCCATGGAGTTATTAATTATACTGTCAGTGTGAACTACATCTTGTACTTGATGCATCGATAGACAGCAGATCATCTTAGTTTGATTACTCTTTAGATCAGAAGATCAGCTACAAGAGCAAGAGCACGGTTGCTAAAACATGGACGGACAATATTACAGACACTTTACGCCATCACAAACTACTGGACGTAAATTTGCCTAGTGAAACCACACAACAGCCAGGGGCTGATAGGGTAGGTTCTGCAACGTCCTGTAAAGGATACGCAACTAACCATACGCCATCAAGGCATGACAGTGGTCAGTGCCTGCCAGCGTAAAAGTGATCGCAAATTATTCATCTCCACTTCGCTTAACGGCATACTGATGAGGATCACCCGTGGAGAGGTCTCGGAAATCCCCGTTCAGCCGTCATGCTATAATTTAGACCTGGCTATATTTAAGGCCCCCGACACAAGCCAGGGTTAGTTACACCAAATTTCGTCCTTTTGTCATTTGAAGCCCCACTCTGGCTTTTGCCAGGGGCCGCAATATAGGCAGGCCATTTATATAGCCAAATGTCTGAACGCGGTTTCTGGGACCTCTCCACGGCGATCCTCATCCACATGGTGGCACTTTGTGTCATCGGGTGTTTATCGCTTGTGTGATGTCCTGGTGGGGTAGAAATTCAGTTCAGTTCAGTTCAGTCAGGGTTTGGCTTCGAAGTAACTAAAAATTGTATACCACAAGGGGATGACTAGATAGATGTCATATAGCTGAAAATTTATTTTATTTTATGACATTTTCAGTCATCCCCATGTGGGGTGCAATTTTTTTGTTATTTGAAGCCCCACCCTTGCTTCTGCCGGGGGCCCTGAATATAGCCGGGTCATAAATATGGCCTAGCCAAAGATATGTATATAACGGCTGAAGGGGGTCTCTGGAACCTCTCCACGGGTGATATCCGCATGGTGGCACTTTGTGTAACCTGGTGTTTATCGTTCATGTAATGTAGTAGTACGGGAGTGCAGCTCATCTAGGAGAAGGAAAACTCTGATTTCAAACCACGGGCAGATGAGGCTCGCCAGCACGGGAGTGCAGCTCATCTAGGAGAAGGTAAACTCTGACTACACACCTCCACTGCCTTGTGGCCATACCCATGTTTGGGAAAGCGCTTCGGGAGTAAATCCTGAGGAAAAATCCGGAGCTGGAATCCCTAAGGCGGTTTAGCATTGTATACAGTGCTATTCCGGCAATTCCTGCCAAGTTGTACTGGTTTTTGCCTTTCCCTTGGTATCACCGGCGACGTAGAGAGGGGGTACTTGCTGCCTGGGCAACAGTCTGTACTCCAAATCAAAACGCCCTGGCCTGTGCCCTGGAGAGGTCACTCCAGCGATGCTTAACAGTTTCGACACAACACGGGAAACAGCAGTCACCGGTTAAAAGCCTTTGCTCAATTGGCGTAGAGCTAATCGCCAGGGGTTGTTTCCGACGGTGGGAGAGACCATCGTAGTCTCATTGGTACCAAACATTAGTGTGTATGACCATCAGCTGCTGGCTGTAAATGAGTTTGAGTACCTAGGCTCACGTATCTCAAGCAATCATTCTCTGGATGCAGAACTAAACAAACGCATAGGAAAGGCCTCTGCTATGTTTGCAAATCTCACAAAGAGAGTCTGGTCAAACAAAGAGCTAACTGATAATACAAAAATGAAGGTTTATGAGTCTTGTGTCCTGAACACATTACTGTACGGCTGCGAATCCTGGACTCTCTATGCTCCACAGGAAAAAAGACTGAATACCTTCCATATGCGCTGTCTGAGGCGCATCCTTGGTATATTATGGCGAGACCTTGTCTCCAACGAATGTGTGCTGACAAGAGCAAAAATACCATCAATGTATTGTATACTGAAGCAATGACGTCTGCGCTGGCTGGGACATGTCTCCCGTATGGAGGATGGTCGTATTCCAAAAGATCTCCTATATGGTGAATTGGTAACTGGGAATAGGCCTACAGGAAGGCCAATGCTGCGCTATAAAGATGTATGCAAACGTGACCTAATAGATACCAACATAGGCACAGAGACATGGGAAAAATCAGCTGTAGATCGACTACTATGGAGACAGAAAGGGAAAGATGGACTGTCACATTTTGAAAGAAAACGAACACAACGAGCTGTGGAGAGGAGGCACCGGAGAGTAAAACTGCCTCACAACGAGGGATTATCTGCTTTTGTGTGTATCCTGTGTGGCAAAGACTGCCATTCCCGCATCGGACTTTACAGTCACAGCAGATGCTGTTCCCAAAGCCAGCGGCACATCTCCATAGTCCCCCGAGACTGACGGATGCCATCATTGAATGTAGTAGTAAGGTAGAACTACCAACCTACCATTTACGACTTCAGAGTTAACACATGCACTGCTGTCTGCATTTATTTTTGTTTATGTGTTTAGTTAGCTGTCATATGGGCTGCGAAGAAGTTTTCCCCGTTTTGGTGGGCAGCGTGTGTGAAAAGACTGAGAAACACTGATCTAGAAGTTTTGAAAAGAGCTAATGCCGCAGGGAATCAACAGTGACTAGACCTGTAGTTTACAACCTTTTTTTTTTTTAGTTGTCACCCCCTTGAGTATTTGACAAGACCCCACGTCCCCCTTGAGTATATGGCTAGCTCCCACTTGAGTATATGGCTAGCTCCCCCTTGAGTATTTGACAAGACCCCACATCCCCCTTGAGTATATGGCTAGACCCCTCCACCCCTCCTGCCCCTTTTCCTCAAGTATATGGCAAGACTCCCAGGCCTCTTCCTCCTTAAGTATGTATGTGGCAAGACCCACACACCTCCCACTCCCCATCATAACAAAATGGGATTTAAAAAGAGGAGGAATGTGTTCTTAGCTCTCCTGTCAACTACGGCCGGTAGACAACATTTGACGGCCGGTTAGTCGGAGTTCTGTCCCTTGGCTGCAGTGCAATTACGGACTGGAGGCGGCACGAATAAAAAAAACACAGTGAGGTCGACATGCCTGGCAGAACCCGCGCTGCGACTCAAATTAGCAACCGCGTTCAATTACCGCTTCTTGCGACGCATTACGGAGTGGTTTAGAGGGAAAGAAACAAGTGACATAATTACTGTGTGTTGGCGATAGACAGCCTGCAGTGCCCTACTGTCATTAGACGATTAGGGTTTGGGTTAGGGGTAGGGTTTGGGTTTGGGTTAGGTTTAGGATTAGGGTTAGGGTTTAGGGCTAGGGTTAGGGTTAGGGTTTGGGTTGCGACGTTGAGTTTCTGCGAAGACGAGATGCGGCGACACTAACCGTAACGCTAACCCAAACCCTAACACTAACCCTAAACCTAACCTAAACCCTACCCCTAACCTTATCCCACCCCCTAACCATATGATGACAGCAGGTCACTACACGCTGTCTATCGCCAACACACAGTAATTATGTCATTTGATTCGTGCCGTCTCCAGTCCGTAATTGCACTGCAGCCAAGGGACAGAACTCCGACTAACCGGCCGTCAAATGTTGTCTACCGGCCGTAGTTGACAGGAGAGCCATGTTATCATATTAAATTATACTGTTAACATAAGATTACAAACTGCTCGTGAAAACAAAAACCTTAGCTTTTTGTTTTATAAATATTAAAAATATATATATTTTATTTATGAATTAGTTTAAAAAAAATAATATAACGGATTATTTCTTGTACAAATCAACACTTTTTCCAAAATCGCTTGACGCTCATTTTGCGCTTCCTCCCACCTCCCCTCCCACTCTCCTTTCCCTAGGGGGGCGCCCTCGCCTGTCAGGCTTGGGAGCACTCGATTAGGTTCTTGCCTGACGGGCCGAAATCTTGAATTCGAATCCGCATCCAGACATGTTTGTTGTTGCTGCTGTCGTTAATCTAGTTGGTGTTGATGCAGTAGCGGTAGTAGTAAAAAAATAGTAGTAGCAGCAGCAGTAACAGAATAGTAGTAGTAGTAGCAGCAGCAGAAGTAGCAGTAGGAGTGGTAGTGGTGGTGGTGGTAATAGTAGTTAGTGGCGGGGGAGAGGAGCAGCAGCAACGACAGTAGCGGCAGCAGTAATAGCAGTAGTGGAAACAGCAGTAGCAGTCAGAGAAGTGACAGCAGCAGTAGCAGCAGCATAAACAACAGAAGCAACAACAGTAACATCAGTAGTAGTAGTAGTAGTAGTAGTAGTAGTAGTAGTAGTAGTAGTAGTAGTAGTAGTAGTAGTAGTAGTAGTAGTAATAGTAGTAGTAATAGTAATAGTAGCAGCAGCAGCAGCAATAGTAGTAACAGCAATAATTATATGTTTCAGCTGACGGAAGCAGCAAAACTACCCCGCTACACCAACAGCAAACCTGCTACTGTCTGCACTCAAGCAGCTGACTGCGGGGACAGCGGTTGCTGTCTAAATGGAGTCTGCAGTCTCACGGGCCGAGTGTGGGGGGCATGCTACAAGAACGTGACACAAAATGGCGCCCAACGTCCTGCCGGAGTCTGGACTGCAACAGATCTGTGCCCTTGTGAATATACACATTACTGCTATATCAACAATATTTCTCCCCGGAACTCACACCCAAAGTATGGGAACGTGGGGTCATGTTATCCAATCATGGGCTGAACGGTAAACATACTGTTAAATATACTATGATGCAACTGTTGTATGCACACACACACACACACACACACACACACGCTCACAATAAACACACAAACGTGCAGAAAAAAATGGGGTGGGGGAGGTGGAGAAGGAGAGAGATGGTTGGCGAGACCGAGAGAGAATTATAAAAACCACAGCTGATTTCTATAAATGAAAAAAAGTGTTGGTACTTATAACAAAGTTGCTTTTAAAATGGCGCCGAAAATATCATGCCTGAAAACGCGCTGGTACTGTAGCAACAGACCAAAACTCCTTATTAAAAACTATTATGTCACTAAAAAGAACAGCGAAAGAAGCCAGATCATTAAAAAATAAAATTTCTAAGCAATCCTATTTACCGTGATTAGTTTACATCTGCCATTTATTGAATAAAAACGTGAAATAAATATGTGCTCAAATAGATTGTTTTGTAATAGATGATGATAGTGAACTATTAACAATTAGTACACAATTTAAACACTAGTTGAAGCTGCATGGATGTCGTTGTGTTGGTACATGTGTAAATGGTATAACAGGGTACTACTATGATGAAAAGACATGTGCAAGAGGGACATGAATGATACAGGTGCTGAGGTGGATGGACTCTTGGGAACAAAATGCCATGGCCCGTGTTGTGTGGAAAAAAAAAAGGGGGGGGGGGGGTACATCAGGAAGGGATTGAGAATGAAGGAAGAAACGATTGCAGAAAGAATGAGAGCTGAGCGTCTCAGAAGAGACTAAACACAAATGTTGACAACATTCGTCCTGAAATCCATTGCTATATTTTTCTTAACGCGGGCGGGTCTTGCTAGTTACACTCGCCATCGCCAAGGGATGTGAGTCGCATTTCGCCTCATAAGGCAGTATCAGTATAACACTACCGTCTGGAAAGACAAAAAGGTGTTAATCATCAAAACAGAGTGATAACTGAAACGTGTTTGTACGTTTAAAAGTGTTACCTTTCTGACATTTTAAACAACGTCAGTGAAAGCGATGGTCTAATTGTGATGGGTGATTCCAAGCATAACAATGAGTGCAAAAAGACAGATTATGAACAGCATATTCATTCAAACCTTAAGCTACCAGTGCCAAACATGGATACTATCTAAAGCCCATATACGCAAAATCACCACCTGCAAGATGTGATACCTGATAAAAGCAGCCAACCTAACCATCCGAGATCGAGTGAATAATGATACTATCATACAAATTGTGGGATCAACATCGTGTAGTAGATTCGTCGAGAAACAGCAGATCAAGTGGTTTGGCCATCTCGTTAAAATGCAGCAAGATCAAATACCATCACAAGCACTACATCTCAGAAGATGAGCTGCAAGAGCAAAAGGACGGCCGCGGAAAACATTAAAGACACTGCACCTTCACGGCATGACAATAGCCAGTAACAGCCAACGTGCACTGGATCGCAAATTATTCCTCCCCACGGCGCTTAACGGCAGAAGTGATTTATGATGATGATGATGATCAATGAAATGGTGACTTCCTGGACAACGTCTTTAAGTTTTTTTATTCGGCTGTACTTGAATTGAGTTGAGTCAAGAATTGACATCACAGCGAACGGGGCATTTCCATGCGCGCTCTGTACTCATCTTCAGCAGCCAGCGCAGAGTTCTAATACTGATGGTACCGGTCACAATCTGGTTATATGTCCGTCTTGCCTTTCCTCTGAGTGTAGTGAGCCGGCCAGACCCTCTGGTGGTGAATTGATACATGACAAGGCAGATGTGGTCAGGGCGCATTTGGAACAAGCAACGGAATCAGTAGAGATAAGAGATTATTATGGCTTTGAGAGAATCTGGGTGTAACTAGAGGGTCTGGCCAGGTCACTGCGCTCAGAGGAAGGGCAAGACGGACATATAACCAGATTGTGACCGGTACCATCAGTACGCAAGGCACCTAATGATGATAATGATGAAGGTAAATATGAACGGTAATTTCCAATTTGTGTATTTCTGTACGAAGAAACTTTGACCATGTTGGACCCCCTTCTGTGTGTGCTTTGGTCTACACACACACACACACAAAAACACACATATATATAAATATATAGTCGAGGCCTCATGGCTTTGTATAGCTTAGGGCCTCATCAATTCTAAATCCGGCCATGAAAATCACGACTGTTTGACATATGTAACAACAATTTCTATCACACATTTTGGCACAATGCAGGCACTGGGAGTTCCAGTTTAAAATAGAAAACGGTTGTAGTTAGGCAGCTAAAGGTTAACGGAATTGTGTGACAATTTTAGTGTTAGCCCCGGTTTAAATATAGACTCCCGCAAAGGTTGAATGATCTTTGAATGATGTGTCTTCGGCATCTTGATGCTTTATTGAAAAATACGATCTGGCAATAAAAGTAGAATGGTTTAGAAGTAATGTACGAGAACGAAAATGGCAGACATTGATTGATTGACAACACACTGGTATAGTGCACCAGAGACTGGTGATTACCAGAGAGCATGTGATACGGGTGTGGCAGAAGTATACGTGTTGCTTTCGCAAAGTGTTGACGTCATTTGGTTGATGTGAGTTTGAATTCATAAGTGTCGGGGAGCTACATTCTAATAGTTTCCACCCTGTGTGGGTTCCGGGACCCCAAAGTAATGGAATAAAGGGTACTTTAATTTTAATTAACCCAAACAACGGAAATCGAAAGTTAACAAGAAAGTCCGTTATTTTAGGGGCGTTTTGGTTTGAAATGAACACTGTAGCTATCATCTGGTGGGACAAACGCTCTGACAAAAAGTAAATCGTTATCAGCACTGACCGCCTCAGAGACACCGACTAATCCTAACATTAACACCCCTACAATTTTGGAATTTCATTAGAACTCTCAGACTTCGATTGTTTGGGGTGAATTAAAATTGAAGTACCGAATGAAGAATAGGCCCACAACCATCTAACAAGAATGTCCTAAAAGGAAACTAATTAGGGATGTTTCTTTAGAAGTCGAAGTGAATCAGTCTGAGATGTCAGGAACCAATAGTCTGCCTACAAATAAGATAGGGTGTAAAATGGATGTGCACACAAAACTCAAGTTTTAGAACAAGACTGAAGTCCACAAGTAGACGAACAATCAGAAATTTCCTCCGAAGTTTCCAGCCGAGCGGTGAAGGCTAAGAGAAAGAGAAGGGGGAAAAAAAGACGGGGAACGTTGGTCCGTAGAAACACTATATACAATTAAAAAAAAACTAACAGACATTATATTGATTGACACTCACAGAAACAAGTAGAAAGATAGAAGTACACAACAGTCAACGTAGAAATCGAAAACTATCATCTCCAATGCCAGGAATCGAACCTGTCACCAAAAATAACCATCCGTCTCGCTGCAGAAGCAAGTATACTGACTCACGACCAAACTATACATCGAAACTATACTTTTATATTTGTGAGGCTAGTGTGTAAATAATATATAATGCTAAGAAAACAGACGTTTTTGTTCTGTATTTATATTTATGCACTCTCTTGTTAGGGTAAATCAATATTTGTGACATACGTCATTTTATTTGTAGTGACGGTTGAACAGCAATGACGCTTAGTTCTTTGCGAAGCCCAGGTTCGAATCCTCGGTAAGGTGATTAATATTGTGAATACACTAGCTATGAGGCTCTAAATCACACAGGCTCGTAACTTCTTGTCCTCATCGTTCTAAAAGTGACAATACATACAGGCAGTGAGGACTGTTCTCTATGTCATTTTATTGTAACGACGTCAAGATGTTTGCCTTGTAACTGATATTTCTGTGCACGGGTAGGGACGGTGTTAAAGAGTGGATGGGAAAAACACAAGCGTTACAGTCGTCTAATGCGGATAAGTTAATACAGTTCATTTACCCGCCGGTGGCACATTGGGCTCATGGAGCGTAGTGGGTAATGAACAGAGGTAGGGAATTGATATATGACGAGGAATATTTTTCCTTTGGGAAAAAGCAACGGAATCAGTAGAGAAACAAGATTATTATGGCCTGGAGAGAATGAGGTACATGAGTGTAACCAGGGGTTCTGACTTGCTTACTATACTTAGAGGAAAGGCAAGACGGACATATACTCAGACTGTGACCGGTTCCATCAGTATTGAAACTCTGCGCTGGCTGCTGAAAAATTGGACGAAGCGCGCACCAGAATTCCCCGAGTGCTGTGATGTCAATTCTTGACTCAACTCTGGGCTCACGAGGCTAGACTGAAATTTTCACAGACCAATGGTTGGTAATGTGCTAAGCCGCCTTTACTTCCAAGTTTAACTGCTACCACTCAGACTGGGTCGACCTGTGAGCAAAGGTCATTTTTTTTCATGAAAAAAGTTCGACTTCTTTCGGATTTGAACCCATGACTTTCGCATCAGCAGGCGAGCGTTTAGCCGTTACATCGCGGGCTTCCATCTAACACAGACACCTTAGTCTAGTCGGGTAGAAAAGACACGTTTGACTTGTCTAGAAAAAGTATTTATTTTATCCCCACAAGCCGGCGTTTTCCATTGGCCGGCTGGAAACAACACTTTCATCCTGTCTTCTAGGGCAGGTTATTCATATGCCGCGTTAGCGCAGTCGATAGGAGGCTCGCGACTGAATCGCGACTGAATCCAGCCATGGTCGGTATTCGAAACCAGGCGGTTCCAGGGGTTCACCCAGCCTCTAGGAAATGGGTAACAGAGTTGACACTCTGGGGTTTTTATAAGGAGTAGAAAATTATAGGGAAGAGAAAAAGTTGGTAAGAAACAACAATTAGTTTATGTTAGCTTTACAAAATCGATAACAATAAACAAACAAAGGACGTTGCGGCGATTAGCCTTCATCAGCACAGACATAAAAGGACAACACAGTACATATTACACAAAAAGGCTCTAACTATGAAGTGACTACATAGGACTCTAATGTATAAAATTAACGATACTCATCTAGTGTCCCTGTCCCTGGCGAAAAATCTTCGTTCAAATGAAACGACGGTCAGCCTATATACCTCCAA